AGTAACGAAGTACATGTACTTCGTTACTTCCCATCACTGGTTTTCAGGCACATTTTTTCACGGGTCAGAGTTTGACACGTGACATTTCAGATGGTGGCCTGTCACACAAAGTAACACACGCCGTTTTCTTTCTTCATTTATCGAGCCGAATGACTTAATCTGATTAATACTTCCCAGATGTTTTCAGACTGTGCCTCTTGTCACATATACAATGAAAGTCCCAAGCACTTTACTCGTTTTAAATAAGATCATGGAACTGTAACGTTGTTGAACTTTGACCTGTAGCCTAATATCACAACCTGTATATGTTTACCATGCAGTTCTGCAGAGCTTTTTTTTTTTTTAGAAACGTCCTGCGTTAAAGAGAACGTAAAAAGCAGGACGTTAAATAAAAATACAAATTCTGTTCATCCGCCTGCCAGTGGAGCGCTACAAGAATTACATTATCATCTATAAAATACATTAAAAAAAACAAAATAAATGTACCATTTATATTAATTTGGAGAAACAAATTTACATACAAAGCAGAAATTATTAAATTATCATCATTATGGGACTTTTGCTGTCTTGTTTGTGTTTGCTGTCTTTTCTTTGTCCCCCTTTTCTCATCGTCTGGAAGTCATGATGTCATGTTGTTTATAGTCTTTCTCTCAGCATTTGAATGAAAAGGAGAAGGTGTGTGTGTGTGTTCGGTGTCTGTGTGCGCTCAGCAACGAGAATGTATCGTCATCACCACTGCTGGTCGTGACTCCCAGCCTCACAATGCTTTCCGCTCCCTTCTGGAGCCCCTTTATTTATTTTTAGCTGAGCAACGTTTTATTCACTTGAGCTGCGGCCCTGCAGACAGAGCGACACACACGTGTGGAGGGGAGTGTGTGTGTGTGTGTGTGTGTGTGTGTGTGTGTGTGTGTGTGAGAGATGGAGAACATGTACCAAAATGTCTTCATACTCTGGTTTTTGCCTGCTGTTCTCCGTGACTCTGTTTGTTTTGGCTTCGTGTTCGTGAAGTTTATTTTCTCAGGTGATTGACAAACCCTGCTAATGCCAATTAAATAAATATAAAAAATGTGATTAAATATATAAACATGGCGGCTTGTAGAGAAAAAGCTGTAGTAAGAAATAAAATAATGACCAAAAAAAACCCTAAATCAAAATGTTGGTTCATTTTAAGATGAGACATTTGGTGACATCTCCCTTTAAATCAGTTAAAGGTAAATCTGAGTTTTAAGAGCAGATAAAAGAAATAAAAAAACAAACTAAAATTCTATTTTTCTTCCCAGTCAGTATCAGATAAAATATAAAATTTATTGTGATAGTTTTTGTTCACTTTGAATTTTTCATTCTGTTACAACCACAAACTACAATACAATGGGATTTCATGCTACAGACCAAGACAAGCAGCCACATTTATTTACTCATTTTTATTTCATAAACCCAACAATGCACAGTAAAACTAATTTGTGTTTCTTTTATTTAGAGGACAACTAGTGCGTGATTGTAAAGAAAATAATGCATTCTCTCTCTTTTTTTTAACATTTTAATTTAAATTTGAATCAGCAGAAAGATGCTGAATGCAAATACACTTCAGACTTTTATATATATAAAAAAGTAATAATATAAAAAAGTGCATGATTTAAAATCCAGTGCAAGTGATTTGGCCCAGAAGTCAAATTAGTTAAGTAAAATTTATTTGTATGAAATATTTCAGCAGATCAAAGTTGTGTTATAAAAACATAACACAGTAACCAATTACAAAAAAAAGCAACAAACATATTTTTCATCAAAATCACCAAGCAAATACACATTGAATATATCGATCAATGTTCCAGTTTTTATTAATCAAAGGCCGCTTTAAACAGCTGGGTTTTAAGCCTTGATGTAAAGGAACTCAGCGTTTCAGCGTTTTTGCAGTTTTCTGGACGTTTGTTCCAGATTTGTGGTGCATAGAAGCTGAAAGCTGCGTCTGGTTCAGAATACCTGAGAGGTCTGGATACAACTTTCACTGAATTAGTAAAAGTCTTCTTTGTGATCTGACGTTTAAGCCAACGGCTCTGTGAAGAGAGAACAAACTATACTTATGTTGTTTTTTTTTTTTTAGGTAAAACTTTCAAACCAGGTCGAAAACGGCGCCACACATCTATAGAGGATCTTAGATATGAGCTTCTTATCTTATAGGTAAAACACCATCCTGTTGTTGTCAGCTGAAATGCCGAACACGATGGAGATTCTATAGTAAGAAAAAAGTAGAAAATGAAACGGTTAAAATGATAAATAAAACATAAAACTATACTGTTTCACTTCTACTTTATGTTTTGAGACGTTTGAGGCCAGATCTTCAGGACTCTGCCTCATTAAACTGACTACATTACCAATTAAATGACCAAATAACCATATCACCTTTTAGAAGAGATTTTAAACAGACGTATATGTCAATCAAATCAAATGAATCTGTGGTTCAGCTACATGTTTACATACTGAGCTATTTGCAGTACAAAGTCCATCTGATGTTTGATAAATCTTCGTCTTCCTCTCTTCCTGTCTCTTACCCCTCCTTGATTCTTCGTTCATCAGTGGCCTGAGAGGAGACGGGAAACCCTGGCCAAATGAAACCTGGACGACGACGACGTCTCCTGCCTTCAGCTCCACGTTCCCACGACTGTTCCTTCTGCTCGCTCTCGTTCTTCAAAAGCTGCTTCGTTCGTCTTCTCTACAACTCGTACGTCTCCGTCCACTCGTGATCGTCCCCAGTCTTCCAGTAGAATCAAGGTAAATTCAAGCCTTAAATGTATGTTTTTGTTCCAGTCGCATTTGAATTCAACGACGCCTTAGAACAAATGTTACTGAAGCATTTACTTTATATTTTTAACTCGGTCAGGTAGTTTGGTAAATTTTCATAAGTCATCCAGGACTTCTTGTTTCATTGGGAAAAAAGCAATGTGATGCGACAGAGATGAGGTCAATGCTTAAAATATGAAAAGCCAAACACGTTTTCAGACGGACCCTCATTATTAAATTTAAAAAAAGGAAAATCTTGATATAGGTTAATTAATTTTCCATTTTATCTGTTTTTTTTGCCATGAACTCACCAAACACATATATGTCTAAATATATGCATCCTTACATCCATACCCACACACACTCATATGGGTTAGCCTCATTAACTCTCACCCAAATTTCTTTATCTTGTGAAAATGACCTCCTTATATTATATTGTATTACATTTTTACGTAGTTTTAACTCATTTAACTTGTTCCATAATTTTACACCATGAAGTGAAATAAAATAGCTCTTTCTTGTTGTGTGTAAACTACGAATCCTTAAGTTTGAGTAACCTAAGTTATATCTCTCTCAAGAAACACGCTCTGTATGAGCTTAGGTCACAGTTTATTTGATACTTTAAACATAATTTGAGCAATTTTAAATTCCACCAGATCTTCAAATTTGAAACTTCTATATTTCAAGAATAATGGGTTTGTGTGCTCATAATAACCAACATCATGGATGATTCTAGTGGCTCGTTTCTGTAGGATACTCAGTGGTTGTAATTAATTCCACACACTTCTGAACAATATGTTAAATACGGCAAAATCAGCGAGTTATCAAGAATATGAAGAATATTCAGCCAGGACTGATACTAGTTTGTTCTGTAAATGTTTCGTAAAACTCCCACGACAGCACTTTTTTTCCCACGTCACACGAGTCACGTGACCAACAGCCGGTTGTTAGTAATGGCGAAAAGGCAGAAGAAGGCGACAGGAAGTGGTAGGACGATGACGGTTTGTTTTTGTTTTTTGGGGGATAATGTGCAGCTGGCCTCACTAGAGCTCTCACAGCTTCCCACAGTTCATAAAAAGTTGTCATTCAAATGTGTTGAATCCATAACTCTTCGGTACAATTTCCCCAAAACGCCGCCTACGTAGCCGCGCCCAGGCGTGAGCGGCTTGTCGCCCCAGCACCTGAATAAAACACCGATAACGGAGGATGAGCGCTCGAGCCATCAACATACCTCATCTGTTTACATCCATCGCTGCCATTATTTTTAATTACTTATCGCGTGAGCTAGCTTGTAAACGCGAGATCTTAACTTGATTTCTTATTTACTGGAAACTTCCGCTGGAGATGGGCACAAGGATAGACCCCTCAGGGACCGCTCTTGCCTATTGTCGCTGACAAGATTTAGGGCGGCCATCTTGGAGCGGTCCACCACTCCACTCAGCGTTATGTGTT